AAAGCCGGAAGTGGTGCTGTGGCTCAAGTGGTAGAGCGCTAGCCTTGAGCTGAAGAGCTGAGGGACAGCGCCCAGGCCCAGAGCTCAGGCCCCACGACCGGAACCAAAAAATAAATAAATAAATATGTGCCAGTACTGAGGCTTTAATTCAAGGCCTCATGCATTAATTTGGCTTTTTCTTTCTTCTTTCTTTCTTTCTTTCTTTCTTTCTTTCTTTCTTTCTTTCTTTCTTTCTTTCTTTCTTCTTTCTTTCTTTCTTTCTTTTTTGTTAAGGCTGGCATTCTACCACTTGAACTACAGCTCCACCTCTGGCGTTTTGCTGGTTTATTGGGGTTAAAAGTCTCATGGACTTTTCTGTCCAGACCGATTTTAAATCTGGATCCTCAGATCTTAGATTACAGGCATAAGCCACGGGTGCCGGGTACTTGCTCAGCTTTTTCTGCTCCTGGCTGACAACTCTACCACTAAAGCCTTACCTCCAGTCTGGCATTTTGCTGTTTAATTGGAGATAAGAGTTTCTCAGATTTGTCTTGGAATCAATCCTCAGATCGCAATCCCCTGAGTAGCTAATATTACAGTCACTTGCTCCAGGTTGCACTCTAGAATTCTGTGATTTTCTTGCCTTAATAGTTTTCAATATCCAAGCATCTTGGAGGCATTAGTGACTTGTTTGTTATCTGCCCCCTAGTGGCCACTGATGGAGATATAGTTGCCTCAATGATCTCCGTAGACATGGAGAATAGTCAACCAACCCACAGTAAGACTGTAGACCTGCCAATAAACTTGCTTAACTCAAAGGCATAAGCTCACTCATTGATATCCTTTCTTTTTTTCAAACTGAAAAACAGGCTGACTCTAAAAATAGACTGGATGTAGCCTGACCCTGCCAGTTCTGAGGATTGTCTTCTGTGTGTGTGTGCTACTATCATAAGGTGGGCATTTTCATTTTCTTTTCTTGTCTTTTCTCTATTTAAAAAATATAATTTAATTGTTATTATTAAGGTATTTTACAGAGGGGTTACCATTTCATAAGTCAGGTCATGAGTTCGTTTCTTTTCTTATTTTGGACAATATCATCTCTTCCTTCTATTTCTCCCAGTTTTCCCTTCCCATCCTTGCCAACAAGTTACACAGTTCATTTTCCACAGTGTCTTACTGAACAGCATGACTGTGTTTGTTCACCCTTCCTCCCTTCCTTTAATCCCCTTAAAAAATAACCCAAAAGCCGGGCACCAGTGGCTCACACCTATAATCCTAGCTACTCAGGAGGCTGAGATCTGAGGATCATGGTTCAAAGCCAGCCTGGGCAAGAAAGTCTGTGAGTCTCTTATCTCCAATAAACCACCAGAAAACTGGAAGTGGCTCAGTGGCTCAAGTGGTAGAGCACTAGCTTTGAGCTGAAGAGATGAGGGACAGGCCCAGAGTTCAAGCCACATGACTGACAAAAAAACAAAAGTAAAAACAAACTCTTATCTTTTTTATTTTCTTTATGCCAGTCCCAGGGCTTGAACTCTGGCTTTGGGCTCTGTCCCTGAGATTCTTTTGCTCAAGGCTAAGCACTCTACCTCCTGAGCCACAGCACCACTTCCAGCTTTTTCTGTACATGTGGTACTAAGGAATTGAACCCAGGGCTTCATGTACGGTAGACAAGCAGTCTATCACTAAGCCACATTCCCAGCTCTTTTCCTTTTTTTTTTTAGAACCTGTGCCTTAGCAATACTTGCAAGTTGGCTACTGGTGGGTGTAAAAGGCTTTCCAGGGACTCAGGTGGTTCTAACCTCATTGCTCTACTGCTAGTTAGGCTTCTGGAAGCAGGTGCTCACACAGCGCCTCAGAATCAGTCACCAGGGGGCATCATTAGCATTCATCCTATAACCTCAGGAGGGAAGATAACCTGTCTCCTGTTGTCCTGGAGACTGCAGACTCAACACTGCTCCTGGTAAGTCTTTTCAGTATCTTCTCTCGTAATTTGAATTGAGACATTTCTAAATAGCTTAGAATTCTATAATTATATATATTTATTATCAATAATTTAACTATAACTCAATCACAATTTAATTTACAATTAATGTAATCATAACAATTTAATTTATAAATTGAGGTATAAATTAGATTGATTGATAATTAAATTATAAATTAATGTATATCTTATAAGTTATAAAATTAGAATTTAATTTATAAATTATAAATTAAGCTAATTTATAAATTAAAATTGTTATAACTTATAATTAAATTACATATTAGAATATAAACAATATAATAAATTATATAATACTATAAATTATATATTAAGTTATAAATTATAATGAATCTATGATTTATAAATGAACAATTATATTGTAAATGATCTACAATTTATAATGTACAGATTAATAATCAACAGTATCTTCTAATTTGTTCATGGATTTATAATTTGTAATTTAATTATAATTTTTATAAATTAATTTATATATTATAGAATTTAGAATTCTGTCATTTATCTACGTAGGAAAACCTAGACTTTTCCATGTTTCCTCAAGAAAATCAGTCACATGCTTCGTGTTGCATTTCCATCACTCAGTGCTTACCATAACAGCAAAGACATAATGGTTATTGTGGTGATATTCCAAGTCCTGAACAGGTCCAGAATGAAAACTTTCTGCTGCTTCATGGCGTTTAGCTCCTGGAGCTGAAACAGCGCAAAGAACCATGAAGTTAAGAAGTAGTAAGGAACTTTCTTCTGTCCTGATGCATGGGATAAGCTTACACATGCAACTCTGTCTTTTTGTCATGGGGCTTGAAATCACAGTCTGGGTGCTGTCACGGAGCTCTTTTTTGCTCAAGGTTAGTGCTTTATCACTTTTTTTTTTTTTTT